GATGAAGTGACTGCAGAGCTTCAAACGATGCTGGCGATAGGAGTGATTGAACCAGAGTCTTAAGAATGGGGTTCGGGCACATCTGGTTCAGGGATACTCATTCCAAATGGCACTTAACCTAACCTTAATGCACTACAGGGCTAGTCAGCACAGTACCACTCACGTTTCACCTGCTCTGCTCATGCTTGGCCGGGAGATAGAACTGCCCCTAGACCGGCTAAGAGCATGTGGTTTGCCAGCAACGACAGTAAAGGAGCCCCAAGCAAAAGCCAAAGTGGCTGTCACTACAAACCAGGATCGTATGAAAAATAACTTCGACAAACGACACAGGGTTAGGCATGCTAACATCGAGGTACTGGACTGGGTGCGGGCCCGCAGACCCCACCGTAGCAGTAAAATGGCATCTTTCTGGTCTGAACCTCACCAAGTAGTTCGTCGGTTAGGCTCAACCACATATATGTTGAGTGATGGTTCTCGCTGGCATGCAAGTAGATTGCAGAAAGTGCCTATTCCCCTTACTACAACAAGAGGCCCAAGGGCAACAGAACCAATGGGGGCAGCAACACGAGGAATAAACTTTCCAACCCCACAACCTGAGCCAGTACAGCAGCAGCTATACCAGGCACCTCAGGGTCGTCAGCTCAGGGAGCCCCCACAACAGGCGGAGCCTGATCCGCCACCACTCTTGGCAGACACTGACCCCTGTCCTTCCCAAACATTGCACGATCCTATCCAAGATGTTCCAGGAATGCAACAGCAGGAGGGTTTGGGAGGTAGACCAGTTCGGGCGAAGACTCGTCCAGCCTATCTTAAGGATTATATCATAGACTTTCATGCATAAAGGTTAAGATGTGTCTGCTGTTTTGGCTGCCACATTAAAACTTGTTTACTAAGTCATGTAGTTCTTGGAGGGGGGGGGGGGGGATTGTTGTGTTCAGCATGTTATAAGATTTATTGAAGTGTGTGCGCGTGCATGTGGTGTGTGCGCGTGGAAAATAAAGCGGAAGTTTTAGTGTGTTCATCTGGACTAATGTGTAGACTGAGTTATTGAGTGTCCATAAAAGTTCATACACAATAGGATCATTGGTTCACATAATCCTATTATCATACAAATACTACAGGAACACTACTTTAGATCACCAGCATACAAAATGCATTGTTTCAATAAACAATCATTAAATATTGTTGTTTAAAATATATGATACAGGTTTCATGATGGTTTATACATAAGTGTAGAGGGAACAGTGCAGACAGTGGATATACTGAACTATTTTATTCATTCCATCATAATGTAGGTTTACTGTAATGTTTTCCTCACTGCACATCCCCATATAGAAAGCTGATATATGGCAACACGTGCAAATTACATTATTATAACATGTCATAATAGTCAATAATTTGTCAAAATAGTGCAAAAATCGGCGAGGCAGTGGTACAGTAGGTAGTGCTGTCGTCTCACAGAAAGAAGGTTGCTGGGTCGCTGGTTCGAACCTTGGCTCAGTTGGCGTTTCTGTGTGGAGTTTGCATGTCCTCCCTGCATTTGCGTGGATTTCCTCCCAGTGCTCCGGTTTCCCCCACAGTTCAAAGACATGTGGTACAGGTGAATTGGGTAGACTAAATTGTCTGTAGTGTATGAGTGTGTGAGTGAATGTTTCCCAGAGATGTGTTATGGCTGGAAGGGCATCTGCTGCGTAAAAACTTGCTGGATAAGTTGGTGGTTCATTCTGCTGTGGTGACCCCGGATTACAGTTTTTTACAATGGCTATGACACTTTTTTCAATACATTTAACAAGTTTGCTAAACTCTTAACGCAGCAACACACCTAAAATACACAATTGGCAAAACAGTTAATTTTATGCTCAAAATCACACATTATAAACTAAACCTCTGAACTACTTTTCAAAATACAATAATAAACGAACACAATACACCATGTCTAACAAAACACTGCAAACATGTTTCAAAATGAAATTATTGTTCAAAACACAAACACATGTTCTCTTCCAACAGAAACATTCAGTCAATCAGAACACACTGACAATGAAAACACTATCATCAGCTAAAATTACAGAAACTGCATTAGTTTATGTGTCAGCTCTGCCCTTATATTTGAAGTCTCGTTACAGTTTTGTTTCGTTGGGTTACGTAAATGCATGCATTTTCTTTCGTTTACGGCAAAAATTCTATACAAAACGAAGGAAAAAAATTGCTTTATAAAATTTACAGTTTATGTAAAAAAAATACAGACAGAATTTCTGCAGTACAGACTTTTTTTGAAGAAGGACATCACTGCAAACAGGAAAAGCACCACAATTATAATAAAATAACAAAGTAATCTTCTATACTGCCCGGTCTTTTGCCACATGTTCTCATCCACATTATACTTGATATCTTCTGAGGCCCGGCACGGTAACTGTGGCCCTTTGGCCTATTATGTTTTTCCTACGTCGACATCCCCAGCCTTGTCAACATTGAAAATTTCATGTGGTACTTGATTGGCCTCTAACTTCATGACTCTCTGAAAGTAATTAGACACAGTGTATGCAAATGCTGTACTGTATATGTACTGTATGTACTAATGAACTCCAGGTTTAAAGAGTAGTTTACTGCAAAACACACTGTGTAAAGTACAGTAATGACTGTATTGCATAATCTTACATCTTACATAATCTTAATCTTACATATATATATATATATATATATATATATATATATATATATATATATATATATATATATATATATATATACATTTATTTATTTATTTATTTATTTATATAACCGCAATATGCTGTTTCTCATTGGCAATTAAATAAAATACAGGGAATAAACTTGTGTTTCAATTCACAATTAGAACAGCTGTTCACTTTGACTTTATCCTGTATAAATTCTGTTTAGATCATGGTGTTATCTGTTCTGACATACTGTGTTAAAGCATTTGTAAATTTGACTGTAAAATTACATTGTTTTGTTCTTGGTTGAGCTTGTGTTTAAAAGAAGTTCAAGCATTTTAAATTTGTGTTAACTGGATGCATTTTGTGTCAAAACAACAAGAAATGTGTTAATTGTATAGCCCACGAAGACGGATGTTGTGCTAACTGTGTTAAGAGTTTAGGAAACTTGTTAAATGTATTGATAAAAGTGTCATAGCCATTGTAAAAAACTGTAATAAAGGGACTAAGCCGACAAGAAAATGAATGAATGAGTGCAAAAATCACTGTTTACATTTTTTTCAGCCATATCATACACATACACATACACACACACACACACACACACACACAGACACACACACACACACACACACACACACACACACACACACAATGAATACACGTTTAAACACATATGTTTGTGTGTTTTTGTTTCTCTGCTGAAGCACCGCAGTAAAAATTCTCTTAGGGTCTCCTTTTGACCAGCAGCAACTCTGGTTAGTGGGTTCCCACTTAGGAAGAGGTCAAATTTCATTTTTACTGTTGATCATCAGTTGGCACCATTAAATCCTTTACATTGCCCCGTGCAAAAGCGTGTCTGACTTTTATATGGAGTTCTGTGGAGTAAAACTGCAATTTATAGAGTACATGCATAAGTACACTTACTATGTTTACTATGTTCTGACAGCTGAGGTGCCTATTTTGTATTTTCTCCTACACATCAATATCTGTGTGTTAAAGTCTCTCTTACAACCTCACACACTCACTAAACACCAAATAAAAGCAAGAAATCAAGCTTTTTTGCACTGTAACTGATGATCACCAGCAAAAATCACAAATCTTACCTCTTCCCAACAGGAAAAACCACCAACAATCAAGAATGCATGATTATACGCTGTCATGACGTTGCATTTAAAAATAATGGAAATCACTTGGGCAAAAACAGCCATGAACACAATGAAAGGGTGGTAAATTTGCTCAGAGTGTATTGTTGAGTTTTTAAAAAATTCAAAAAGTATTTTCCCAAAATATGTGTCAACAAGACTTGTCACCAAAAATCATCCCATTTGCTGAACCACAGAGAAAGTTGTTGGTAAATTAAGCCTCAAAATCAGCCCAGAGTGGACCAAAACTTCACCAACAGCACAGAAGGGTTAAACACCCCCAAATCCTTGATGGGATGGTTCTAAGAGGCAGTGCTCACTTCTGGACAGAGGGGCAAGTGTACCAAGTAGCAAGTGGAGATGTTTTGAACCTTCAGCTGACAGCCAGTGTAAGTGGAGAGGTAAAGGCTGATTTATACTTCTGCGTCAAACGCCGGCGTATGCTACGGCGCTCACGCATAGCCCTTGGCGTGGCCATGGCCGTCGGCGTCGCTTCAAAAATTGTAGAGCGCAAGCTCTGTGATTGGTCGGCTTGGTAGCGCTGACGAGTCTGGGCGGGACCGAGAGCCGCGCGAATGGCGCGAGCGATTGTCTACAAGTGTGGAGTCCCGTGAAGGAGCTTCGGATGGAAAGTTTTGTTTTGTGTTTACCTCATAGTTAAAGTTGTTGCACGTCCGCCGGTTCCTGCCTCAAAATGAGCGAGTTTGAGCCACTTGTACATCCCGGAAGTGTTTAGGAAAAGCATAAAAGTAGCGAAGAAACTCAACACAGAGGAACATTTACACCTCACTGCCAACTAGCGTTTCGGAAGTGTTAATGCAGACCAACAGAGACAGCGCGCAGAAGTATAAATCAGGCTTAAGAGAGGTGTGACGTGGGCTCTATTGGGATCATTGAAGACCAGATGAGCTGCAACATTTTGTTTGGCCAGGATTGATTAGATGAGCATGTCATCGGTGTAAACCAGAGATGCCCAAACTAGAGCCCGTGGGCCAAAGTGGATCCACGGTAACCTTTGATTTGGCCCTCCATCCCATCTGAGAAGAGAGGGAGAATGATGGGGAGTTTTGGGGGAAAGTCTTTAACAGAGATTGTCATTTCTAATACAACATAACTTTATTTTTTAACTGTTGAGATACAAAAATAAACAAACTGAAATTAAACGTTTCAATGAAATGTTGTGAATGAATCAAATAAAATAATAGTCACTTGAAGGAGAGCAGACATTACAGAAGACATCAGCAAGCGAAGGCAAAGTGTATTTTTAGTGTTATAAATGGGATTGTTCATGTTTTATTGTAAGACTTTCATTCATTATAAAATGTATAATTATTAATACAATTAAAGAATTTGAAATGTTGTAAATTACAGTATTCAGTGAATCATGTAAATTATATAATGATTAATAATAATAAACTAGGAAATTACATTGACAATTTTACAGTTTGGTAGATTTACCTCCAGCCCACCACCCTCAGACGAGTTTAGTTTTTGGCCTTTCATAAGAAAAAGTTTCCCTGAAGCACCTCTGAAATAAACTTTAACTAAAAGTTTTAGATTCTGAGCAGGACAGCACACTGGTTCTCCCGCAGCATGTTTGTTCATCATTTCTATCTTAATGTGTTGATCATTTTCTTTTGTGTTTCTGTATTGTGTGAAGGTCAACCAGTCCATGGTTTATGCTGCTAAAATCTTTATTCAGTTTTATTCATAAACTATGTACAATATATACACTGTGCTCACGTCGGCTCCAGGTCTCTTGGGTGAAGGTCTCTCAGTGACGTGGTCTCTTCTGGTCGTTGTGCGTCTCTGGTGGAGATGGGGAGCGGGAACGTTTCCCTCCAGCGTCCTGGACTGAAGATGCTGCACCAGCTGAGGAAGAGGAGGGCAGCGGCTTGGTCTGGCAGAAGGACGGCCTCTTTTTCTTCTCAGCAGCATAGGCCTCACTGAACAGATCGAGCGCAAACACACACAAGCAGACATAATGTGAGATTTTCACAAACACAAAAACATGCTGCAATGCCAAGTACAGTTTACTCACGCGTCTATGATGGGAATGACGTATTTGCCGCTGCCGTCCATCATGACTCCCTTTCGGTTTGGGTCGTCCACCTCCAACAGGAAGCTGCGGGGAATCCCTGTGCTCCTCCTGATGCGCTTATGCGAAGCAGAGCTGCTACCCTGTGAATTCATGAGTGACAGTCAAACGACAGAGCAAACAATCTGACTGATGGAGACAAGAGCTCATGTTCACAGCAACCATAAGCTTAGAAAACCCAGTTACCCCTTTAGAGGGGCAGTGCCTAATGTGGTGTCCTGGGATCCCACAGTGAAAGCAGACATAGTTGGGTGGAAGAAGCCCAAGCAGTGTCATGGACTCACTGATGAACATCAGAACCATGAGAATCAGCTCTAACATTTCTCACAAACCAAACCTGTCAGTGTCTGAACGCTCACCTGCTGGAGTAGTAGCACAGACTGGACTGGTACATCACCGCTTTTAGCTTGTCCTCCTCTGATGCCTTTGCCTCAGCCAGATTCTCAGTCTGTTTCACAGGCATTTGCACATTAGAATTTTATTTCACTGATTTGCTCAAGAGCTCAGATAAACACCCTCAAATCTCCCTAAAAAGCTCTGTGTGTGTGTGTGTGTGTGTGTGTGTGTGTGTGTGTGTGTGTGCATGTGTTTGTGTGTGTGTGTGTGTGTGTGGGTGTTTTACACTGTGTATTGATATTCTGCACTACATGTCATTATGACGCCTCAAATGCAAACACTGCAGTTCAATACAGAGCAGCACAGTGGGGTGAATTAATCATTTGTTCAATACCTTCAACAGCTGCTCCAGTGAGAGGAGTGAAGAATCACCTGTTTGAGAAGATTTGGCTGATAATCCAGCTTGATGTCTGCAAAACAAAGGAGCTTGTGTGACTAAAACACCACAGACAGACTCAAACTCTTGATATAACATCTATCAGAGGATGATTGCGCTCATTTCACATGACTTACCCAACAAATCTTCTGTTTGATGACTTCAGTCCAGCTGCAGGGACCCGTCTGATGATGACCGACGTGTTTTTGGGGATGAGAGCATCATCATCTGTGTATTCTGACAGCAAAATAAAGTTTGAATATAGTAATAATCATTTACCATGGTATACTTTGAGTGCCATTAGCATTTTAAAACACTCAGAACATCACTATATGTCACCATCAGAGTCAGAATAATAAATCACAGCTTCTACAAGTCTGTCTAATAACACATCTAATGTTAGTGTAGTATAGTTTAAGTGGCTTTTCCTCATCTCACCTTCATCAGTTTGGGCTTTGCTGATCTTTAGCTGGCAGAACTTCAGCCTCTCGCGCCTCATGATCTGCCGCTTCAGCTCTCCCACAGTGATGTTGAGGCCCTCAAACTGGAGCGAGTCGTAGGTGAGTCGACTCTGAAACCTGTAATGAACACAAGACATACTGAACACAAAACACAGTGTGATAACAAGGGTCAAACCTGAATGAAGGGAGCAGCAGGCGATCAATCGATGTATCCAACAATCAATAATATCAATAATCTGGGAATCAGTTGCCACGAAGGACGCCGAGATCAGATGCCAATGACAGAGCGAAGTTCAAAACAACACAAAGAGAACCGTTGCCATGGATGCTGACGATCACGTGAAGAGTCGCTGAAAACTTCCGCGTTATATTCTCATAAATAATATTGAAATCATTACTATGATAACAATTAAATAAACTGCAGAAGTTAGACATCTCTGAATAATACACAGCTGCGTTTCCTTACACGAATGATTCTGGCCTTTGTAAAGAATCGAGCGAGTCAATGAATCAGTGATTCGTGGCTGTATGAATCACTCAAAGCTTCACTCGAATAAAGCGGTCTCTTGCTGCCACCTATTGGCGATTTGTTTTTTCGTTTTTAAAGTAATTTAACACTTTTTTTTAAAGGCACCTTCAAATTTATTTTCTACAAGTTTATATCCGTGTGTTAAAAATGATTTAAAACTCTCTAATCTCATAATTTCCTGATGCGTTTATAATGTAAATCCATTCATGTTTGCCTTAGATCTTCATTATGTGTTAAAATCAATAAAATATTAAAGTTGCCTCATCCAAATCCAAAGTTAATTAAAAGCTTTATTATACAGCAATGTGTGTGTGTGTGTGTGTGTGTGTGTGTGTGTGTGTGTGTGTGTGTGTGTGTGTGTGTGTGTGTGTGTGTGTGTGTGTGTGTGTGTGTGTGTGTGTGTGTGTGTGTGTGTGATTGTGGCAGTGGATTAAAGTGAATGTAGAAGTGATTAGAAGTGTGTGATATTTATTGTCTCTGATAATCAAAAGAACATTTTAAGAGTCCAAAAGATTTACTGCCTGATTAAGCCTGTTATAATGCAATTATGATGACCCTATAAATCTAGAATGGTCAGAACAATGAAAAATTAGGGAAAGAGATTCATTAGTATTTCTCCTCTTTTTTTTGTATGTGTAAGTGCTCCTGGAAGAAAAGTCTGCGTCTCTCTGTGTCACTCAGGCTGCACTGCAGTGTCTATTCTCAGGTGTGATCCCACTACTGATCAGCACGGGGGATTTGACCTGCTCCGTCTCCGACCTGGGCCGGTTCACCCCTCATTACACAACCTGGTGGTCCCAAGCTCCCCCAGGAGCACCATATCGATACCGAACTTAGTGTGGACACCTGATCAACATAGTCCACTGCAGTCCAGAAGCCCTGAGCTCAAGCGATTCGCAGCCTCAGCCTCCCAGTAGCTTGGATTACAGGCGCGCGCCACTAAACCCGGCAAGAGCTGAGAGAATCAGAGCTGTGGAGAATCTGATCATCACAGCGACCTCAAGTGGAGGAAATGATGAATGATGAAGTTATGTTGACTTTTTATTGGTCTTATGGCACTGTTTGGATAAAAATAAACAGCAGTACGGTCCCAAATAAAATATAGTTATTTAAACTAAATACTTTAGTATTTTAGAACCACATAGTAAAGTTTATTGTACTGAATAGTATAATCACAATGTTGTGCTATTTAAAGGCAACTGTGGTGCAGAGTCGGGTTGGAAGAAACTTCAAGCATTTCTGTTTTCGTGAGGTTAAGCTGAAGATGATGATCTTTCATCCAGTGTGAAATGTCCGACAGGCAGGCTGAGATGCGAGCTGGAACCGAGGGATCATCAGGGTGAAAAGAGAGGTATAGTTGGGTATCATCAGCATAGCAGTGGTAGGAGAATCCATGTTTCTGAATGACTGGTCCTAGAGATGTCGTGTAGATGGAGAAGAGAAGTGGCCCAAGAACAGAGCCTTGAGGTACCCCAGTGTTTAGATGCTGTAGGTTGGACACCTTTCCCCTCCAAGACACCCTGAATGATCTGTCAGAGAGGTAAGATCTGAACCATTGAATAACAGTGCCTGCAACGCCCAGTGACTCATATATATTATATATATAATGATTAATACATATAGAAACAATATTTTCATAACTAAATTATTTATGATTTGCCGTTTAACAGCAAAACATCTCGTCAAATAGGCCACAGTTCATCAGGAAATGAAAATCTTTTAAATGACAACAGAAAAGCAGTTCAGCGACTAACATTCACTCATTCAGTGAGTATCTCATTTATTCATTCATTCACTAATTGAATCAACACTTTTTCAATCACTTAATATGGTGTCAGATGCAGATGTGGCCTCTAGTGTAATCCACAGTTCATATATTGCACAATGACGCTAAAGGCCACCATATTATAAAATACTGCAGGTTGTTGGTTGCAGATTAATAATCACAAACATAATTTTTTAATCATAAAACAGCTAAAAACATATTTAGTGTCAGAGAGGACAAAGTGGTTTCAGTTTACCTTTTATCTTTAATATTAAACAGCTTTTTAGTCTTTAGATCAGATTAAATAACTTGTGGTACTTGTATAAACAATGTTCAGCTCAGGATCAGTAATTCAGCATGATGTGCTGCTAAAGCTGAAACAGTCTATCAATTTATGCCACAGATTGTGTGAGATTCTGTCGAGTCTTATAGATGTTAAAAACACTGATGGAGGTCAAAACCGCATCTGACACCACAGTTAGTAGATGAGTAAGAGTAAACTGAATAATAAATATGTAACTCAGTTAATGATATTATTCACTGCATGAATGAATGTTAGATGAGGAACTGGTATTTAAGTGGAAAATTAAAACATTACAGCTTTACTTTTTCAGAGGTTCACTGTTTGCACAATCTTAAATGGATAGTTCACCGCATAAATATGATTGTGCCGATTATGAATTAACATTTTTGGGTCAATTATCCCTTAGCTCACATAAATTATCCCAGAGCATTATTTCAGCATCAATGATCATTCACAATAGTCACATCACAAGAAATACAAGGTTGAGTCTGGATTATAATTTAGCATTTGCGTGTGTTTCTGAGGCCTGCGACTGTAAAAGCTTTAGGTCTAATAAATTGCATAATTTGTCATTTTAATTGCAAATCATTTTATTTAATTAAAAAAAATGAAGACAATAGCAGTATTATTTTACATTTGATTATTACATTACTGTACCTGAATACTGTTAGACTCGTTAAAAAACAACAAAGCTCTGTTCATTTTATTTCAACATTTTATATTGTATTTATCTCTGCTCGTAGATTGTTTGTAATGTTTTATGCAGATGCACACCTAATATAAACAAATAACCCATTCTGTAATATGTTTTTTACAGCTATATGTATTATGATACAATAAACCACTTTTACTGTAGTAAAAAAACTAAAGTATACTACAATATTTAATACATTTTATTAGTTGATACAGAAAACAGAATGTTGTGGCACTCATAAAATGAGTTGTAAAGGCTAATAAATATGGTATAATAATCTTTAGTTCAAAAATACTATGTTGATACTAATTACTGTAATTTTTTTATTTGTGATCATACTGCTATTTATTATTAACTAATGTCATAAGGCTATGAAGACAGTTTTTATTCATCATTCAGTTTTCCTCCACTAGAGGTCGCTGTGAGGATCAGTTTCTCCACAGCTCTGATTCTCTCAGCTCTCGCCGGGTTCAGTGGCGCGCGCCTGTAATCCAAGCAACAGGGAGGCTGAGGCTGCGGATCGCTTGAGCTCAGGGCTTCTGGGCTGCAGTGGACTATGTTGATCGGGTGTCTGCGCTAAGTTCGGTATCGATATGGTTCTCCTGGGGGAGCTCGGGACCACCAGGTCGTTTAAGGAGGGGTGAACCGGCCCAGGTCGGAGACGGAGCAGGTCAAATCCCCCGTGCTGATCAGTAGTGGGATCGCGCCTGTGAATAGACACTGCAGTGCAGCCTGAGCGACACAGAGAGACGCAGACTTTTACACTAGTTGTTTTTACTCTGATATATCTTTCTAACAGTAAAAAAAGAAGCAATAAAGGTTTTGAGATGAATGACATGGCTGTGTGTTAATAATTAGAAATAACTAAAAGTTTAGTTTTTTCGAGTGATGGGTTGCAGCTGGAAGGGCATCTGCTAAAAACGTGCTGGATAAGTTGGGGGTTCATTCCGCTGTGGTGAACCAACGGGACTAAGCTGAAAAGAAAATGAATAAAAGTTTATTTGTAGACTAGACATTTTATTTGTAAACAGAAATACACAAATTATCTCAATTTCATGAGTGTATTTTGAAAAGATGATGTTTTAGACAGAAATATGTTTTGCTGTGGTTACTAACTCATAAGTGTGGTCTATCAATATCGGGTGGTATTTAAAACAATTATAGAAGAATTTCACTTTAGTTCTCTCCGTGTTGGTGTGGGTTTTCACTGGTTGGTCTGGTTTACCCCACAAGTCCAAAGACATGCGGTATAGGTGAATTGGGTAAGCTAAATTGTCTGTAGTGTATGGGTGTTTTCCAGTAATGGGTTGCAACATGGGAGGGCATCCTCTGCGTAAAACTTATGCTGGCTAAGTTGGCGGTTCATTCCGCTGTGGTGACACCCGATTAATAAAGGGACTAAGCCGAAATGAAAATGAATGACTGAATGAATTTCACTTTAAACATAATTTACACATTGTTACTTTGAACCCATCATCTGATATTTGGCAGCTCCATCAAGGGTTCTGCATTGTGTTTTCTTTTTATTGTGGGAATAACCAGACAGGTATCAGCAGTTGTGACGGCTCTTTAATCACTCCTGATGTAAACAAAAGCACAGATTTTACAGTGTGTCTTCGCCCTCATCACTTTTACATGCTTCAATCAGACAAATATAAATCAAAACCTCAATTAAAATGAAAACACAAAAATAACGAACTATGTGAAATATGTGAAAAAGAAAGTTATACACAATATTGAAACATAAAAACTGGCTTCAAAAGTCAAGTAAATATGATTTAAGATTAATTAGAGCTGCAGACACCCACCTCTCCCATGTGCAGTCAGTACAGAAAAGGAGGAGGCGGGTGCAGAACAGGAAATTAAAAAACTTAAGCTTTCTCAGAAATTTAAAGGAGCAGGTATACTTAATAAACACTTCAGGTAAAACACACATTTTGTGTAATTCTATAAATAAAGTGAACTATTATTTCTATATCTGTTACACAGGCCTGGTTTGGCTAATCGGGAGCACCGGGAAAGTTTTTTGGCCGCGAGGGCCGGTGTCCCTAGCTGCTTGCACTCTCAGCAGTCGCACTTTTTTCATTTATTTATTTGACCATAGCCTCACTCTTTTTATTTATTTTCTCGCAGGCAATCCGATGATTCACTACATTACAGTTTTTCTCGATTACTTGGATGTAGTTGTCAACTGAAACTCCACATTTTCAAAACAGTAGACACACAGGCCTAAACAGCGGCACTCATGGTCAAAATGACACATTTTGCTTGCAAAAGGCACATATCGTGTCAAAACATTTAACATATGCAACAAAAGCTAGTTTTACCTTCAAACTACACAACTTGCAAACAAGTATATGAGCTCTTTCAATTAATCATTACACAATAGACAACAAAATACAAAATACAGAACTCAAAATGCACCACCATTGCTTGCCATTGTAGCTTATAGCC